GAGAAGAGAAATAGGGAAGCTCTTGATGAAGTTACTACAATTGATAGGACTATTACCGATAATAGGACATTTCCTGATGGAGCAGATGAACTCCACATGAAGCACAAGCCAACGAGATGGAAACCAGTACGGAAGAAAATACGTCCCGTAAAATTGAGAGACTTTGTTGAATTTTAATTTTGTGCTTGTAAATTCTGTACATTTAATTAAGTTATTGTTAATTATCTATTGGTTTAATTTAAGTGGCTATTGTTCGTGACGAACAATACTAAGGAAGGGGCAGTGTTACGACAGCGGAAGTCACGTGACGCTGGTAACACGTGATGAGTGTCTGGAAGATTCGCGAAGAGGCTAGTTCGTGCTACGTGCACACTTTTATTGTATATAAGCATGCCAGAAGAAGGAGACTTGCATTCAGAATTGCAAACAGACAGAGACGGACAATTGAGTTGAACGCGGTAGTGACCCTAAGTAAAGTGCGTGAATCATTGTGAATTCTAGCGTGTGTTTGAGTTAAAGTGATTGTGGAAATTAAGTGTATTGCAAAGTTGAGTTGAGAAAGGAATAAACTAGTTTTATTTAAGAAAGGACTTGTATCGCTGAAGTTTCTCGGAAAGAATTTCTACGGAAAATTAACAAACCAATTAAAGTCTACTTGTAAATCTCTCAAGATATCAAACTAGTTTACTTAAAAACCCACTTGCCCAATAATACTTAACAACGAAACACTACAAAACACATTGACACAACACTACATGCATTACAAAGCTTATCCATCCCCTTTAAGAGGGATTTTATAACAGTTTATATTTTCACTTTTTACTCATACGAGGAATCAGTACCAAAAATTCTGTAACACAGATAAAATTGCACATTGAACTGCACTTTAACTATGACACTACATTTGAAAATTAAACCCCTTAATAAGGAGAATAGTATAAACTAGCAGAGACCCACAGATCGTATGGTGCCAAATTAGTATCTTTATTGGAACAGTACTTCTTTAAATAGAATATTTCTAGAATGGTACAAACGAATTATAATCATATACACCGAAATGTGTCAGTACACTTGTCTTAGGCCTAAAATTAGTTAAGGTTTTATCATGTACGACCTATATTCGATAGAGATACATTAGCACTGTAACCCGTCTACGTTTTTTCTTTAGTTCAGTTGGACTAAACTTTACCGTACTTAATACTATCGATAATTAAGTTTAAAACGTTATTCTACGATCTAACGTCAGACATTTTTGATAACTTTAAGCCTTTCACGCTATTGTACAAAATGGTTAGTAAAGTATATTCACGGCCGCCTTTTGTTTTATTCTTTCATTTGTAGAGCAGTTCTAGTGACCTGCTCACTAAGCTTAGCTGGTCCCTGCCGCAGGCAGGCTGGTTGTGGTCAAGTGCATAATACACCTGCACTATTTTTCATGGGTAAAATTATTACTGCACATGCTGAGAATGCCTACTGACAAGCAAAATTATAATATGATGATTACATCAGAAATTCTTTTACAAAGATACATATGATAACTGATCTTTTAATAACAACAATACCATTATATATGAAACAAAAAAAAACCTTCATCAAAAATAGCGCACCTGAAAATAAGACTCTTTAACACTGCAGTACGGAACACGTGAATTATAACCCTTAAAGAACCAACTCTCTATGTACACACATACACTGAACTAAACATAGAAAAAAGTAGTCCCTAAACATTAAATATACAAATAAAATAATACACACACATGGGTAAACAATAATTAACAAACTATTTACAGCTTATGTGAAGAGGATGAGTTACCTAAGATATCTCCGACAGCAAGTCCTCCAATACAGCTCTGGGTTTTTAATGCATCATGGGGATCTGGTGGATAATCTTCTTTGCTATTGCAAGAGCTTTCTGAGCTCGCATCAGATCCTCCTGGAGTTGATGCACCTCCTTCTCCTATTATGCTGTTGTTTATCGTTATTTTAACAGTTTTCTCATGATTATAAAGTGCCTTGGGTGTCTAATCTTGACTTTAAAATAATGACCAATTGCAGCATAAGTCACTTGCATATCTTGGTTGGTGGTTTTTTTGGAAGCTCTACCGTCTCTGACATCTCTTCAGGAGCTAAGACAGGTGGATTGGTCGACGCTGACGTTTCGGTGCCATCCCTGGTGACCACTGTTGCCACAACTGGTCATACCCTCGTCGCTGTTGCCACAGTGGCGGATGCCCTTTGGAAGTAAGCTTCATCGGTGCTGTCATTAACGGAGTGGAGGTGACAGAAGGAGTGATCATGTCAGAGGTGAGTTTTATGTTCCCTGATTTTGATAGTGGGAAGTCTCTACTGGGGTGCTGGATCTTATGATTCTGTTGAAGTTGTGCAAACTTATTTCAAAAAAAATCAATCAATGGGAAATTTCAGTTGCTTTCTCCAACTTGTGCCATTTTTTATTCTTTTTGAGATTTTGTGGCATCTCTTTCATGTCAGCATGGGGCACTATAGTGGTAGGCAGCAGAGAGACTGGCACATTGAATGCAGTGGGCTTATGCAAACTTATTTTCTCTGGCTTCTTACCGCCAGATATTGAGAGTGGTCAATGGTGAAGTGGCTGGCAGTGACTTGGGACACTCTGGAGTCTGGAGGGCCAGACCCATAGTTACTACTTCTATTTGATTCATCTTCCACAGTGTATTTTTATCCATTGGCTCCGAGAACTTGAAAGCAGGTCCAATCACAGACATAGAAAGCAGCGTGGGAAAGTGTGTAGTACTTCTAAAGTTAGTTAAATAATAAAAAAATACTTACTACGAGTTCCTTCCATTTCAGAAACTCTGGGGAAGTATCTGCAACAGTGAATACTAAAAACACCATTGGCTAGTATAAAGAATGAAGATAGCCAGTAGGGTTAAGATCTTGATCTTAAATAAGTCATGATTGAAAATGCAGGGTCAAACTCCAGCTAGTCAGATAAACTTGGGCAAGATTATGTGTCAAAGCAATACTGCCCTAAATACAAAAAATAAATATTATCCTGGAATACTCTTCAGGAGAAAGTGAAAAATCAAAATTAAAATGTGGAGTCGAGCTCAACATGTATTGAACTATAACCTTAGCTGCCTGAGAAGTTGGTGCAGCCTCACTGATTGTCTGCAGCTATCTGGCACCCCACCACATTACTTTCTCTACTTTCTAGTTGTTAACTAATAGAGTTCGTGTCAAGTAGAAAAGAAATTTGGGATCACACTAGTGGCCAATATGAATTGAATCCCACGCAGACGTCAATCTGATTATTACACCCATGAGAATTTCTTATCTCCTCCATATCAACTTTTATCAGCGGCAAACTTCATATAAGTTAAGAATAGACACCTCTCAAAAGGTGCTGTTCCCTTGCACCAGGCAATGCAGCCTAACGTTTCATACAGAACTGAGCTTGTACTGACTTAGTTTGATAATATGACCAGATTTCTTAAAATATTTCAACATATTTTTGCATAACAAAAGACTTGGTTGCCTCGAGTTTATATTCATCATGCTCAGACATACTATTCTAAAATTTCACGTTTCACAGACAATTTCACATCGCCATTTGTTTTCCGGTATTTGGAAACTACAGTCTTGGCCAAAATGTTTGCATACTGTTGTATATGGGTGTTCTTGTCTACATGCATGTAATAGTTAATGAGTAAATACCTGAGTAGTAACAGAGAAGGTAGCATATGATCAAATAAACATGTATGAGTTGTTATTCTGGTCTGTATTTGTTCATCAAAACACACAAACATGCCTGTTTTATATAAAAAGGTGTGCTTTTGGTATAATCTTTTTCGAAACAGATTAACACTTTGTTCGGACAATTTATTTGTACTTGGTGTAGAGTTATGCCTCGCTATGTGCCAGAAGTTATAAGGTGTCAACTCGTTCAACTGTCCAGAAATGGTATGAAGCAAATATACATTACCAGAACAGTATGATCAGTTTAACATGTCCAGGTTGAAAGATGTTTTGCAACACCTTATAACAGGAATGGTATGAACACATTCATTCCAGGGTATCCAGAAGAACAGTGAACAGGAGACTGACCAAACAAGGTTATTTTGCAAGAAGAGCTATCTGGAAACCAATATTAACCAAAATTCACCACTATAATCATGGTACTTGGGCAAGACAGCATGTCAACTTATAGTTAGGACACTGATGACATGTCATCTTTTCAAATGAGTCTTGTTTCTGGCTTGATAAATCTGATAGTAGGTTTCTTGTTTGTTGTTTGCCTGGAGAACAGATGAGGGAAGACTGTCTTTCTCACAAGGAACACACAGGAAGTGGTGCAGTTCATGTCTGGGCAGCTATTCATCATGGTGGAAAACTACTCTTCATATCCTCCAGTGTTAGTTATACACGACTGTTCATTTTAAGTTTATCATAAGAGTATACTTAGTTTATGCCAATTTTAAAGTAAGTTATTTTCAGAAGCAATAGTTATTTCAAGTTTGCATACATAACTGTTTACGAACCATTTGTTGTGTAGTTCATTTGTGGCGAATTTACGTCATGGTACTCGAATCTTCTGAATTTTTCTCGTTGCTTTAATCGAGTATTGTCACATCACATAATATCTAGTAGTTTGTAGAAAGTTCTAGATTGTTGCGGAGAGAGTATATATATATCTATATATACGTGCCAAAACGTTAAGTAATAATATATATAAATATATATAGGTTGAGTGATCGTGAGTTTAGCCATAGTGTATAGTGGCGACATTTAAAGTGTAATAATCGCAGTTTGTATTGTAATAACAGAGTAGAAAGGAATAATTCGTCTTGCCAATTGTTTTTTAAAGTAACTGAACCAGACTGTGTGGACTTTGATGTAAATGAGAATTATTTAAAGCTCTGGATACGACTATGGTAACCAATGGGGTAATGTAAGAGAACTTATTACTGATTGTATTGTAATAACAGAGTAGAGAAAAATAATTTGTCTTGTCAATAGAGTTCTAAAGTAACTGAACCAATCTGTGCAGACTTTTGACGAAAAAGAGAATTATGTAAAGCTCTGGATTCAACTGTGGTGACTACGTGTGTAACATACATTTGTATATATGTTTGACTATTTTTAATATATTATTTTAAAACAGTGGACTGTGTGCCATTTATGTATTGTTGAAATTTATTGTCAACAAGTCACAGACACCTAATGTAAAGAATCACGGCCCTATAAAACCTGACATCCAGGGAAACGTTAATGGTGCCTCCTACAGGCATCACATGGAGACGATATTTCTGCAATATGCTAAGGCAAGATTTGGAAATACCTTTGTGTTCTTGGATGATAATGCCACTGCCCACAGTACGCATATTGTACAGGATTATCTCAACAAGGAGAATGTTACAAGACTGCCATGGCTAGCAAAGGTCGCAATCCCATTGAGAACTGTTGGGCAGAACTGAGCAGGTAAATTGCTAATTACGATTATAAACCAGCTACTGTAGGTGAGTTGCAGCATTTTGTAGTGACAGATTGGGATGAAATCACGATGGATTACATCAATAATCTCATAGACAGCATGCCACGTCGCCTTGCAGAGGTTATCAGAGTACAAAGAGGACCAACCAAGTATTGAATGTTTAATATTAACTGATACGAGATTACAGGTGCAATTTAAAATAATTTGATGTTATATTTTGTCATTATAGATGTTTGTGTAAGGTTTTGTTGTGGTAAGTGAATTGCTGAATTATACATCTTTCTATAGGTGTCTGATAAAAGTGTTTGCTGTAGATATGTAGATGTTTAATGTAATATGTATTTCTCAGTTTGACAGCGTTAACGGTATTTGTATTCCATCTTAATAATAATGATCTTATTTGTTACAAAATATGAAAACATTTTGGCCAAGAATGTAAAACACGACTTTCCAACAGCTTCAAAATATGGTTCAAACCATGTCCAAATGCACATATTGGGAGACTATTTTCGTTTTTCTGGCAAAACTCAGTATCTGTGGAATGTTAAAGTGCCAAAATGAATCCACCAGTCTTGCTGTTTTTCAGTTATTTGCAATTAACTTCATACTTTATCTCAATACCCTCGTATTCTCCGACATAGGTTGCCCTCTAGTTATGTTCTCCATATTTGATTAACTGTGTTTTAAACAACACATATAAATAACATTATGTAAAGTTTCACATATGAGTGTCACACGTCACACACATAACTGTAAATGCATATTTTCCTACATGTAATCATGCAACTTAAACAAATAGCAAAATACACTAGTAAACTGACAGGTAACCTCAAGCACGTGTGTCATTACCATAGCAGCCACGTGGGTCACTTCTGTCAGCTTTCTTCTCAAAGCTACAGTACAGTAATGTGCTGTAACCTGTGAGTAGGGAGACTCAACTGATTTTTCAGGCTTGCAAAAACACTTCTTGACAGAATTTACTAGAACCATCGTTCAAATACAATTTGCAAGCAAATACTAAAAGTTTTTGTTCTGCCACTACTTAGACACCAACACACTTGTGTGGAACATAAACCCTGGCATAAAACTGGAGGATTTCATCCACAGCAAAGCCTTTACTTTCTGGAGGATCCTGTGGCATGTTTTGTTGAGTTTCCACTACTATGATAAGAGTTATGATCTTTGCTCAGGAGATCACTCAAGCATCAGAAAGAAGGGGGGGGGTGCAACACCCCTTCAGTTATTGGCACTCTGACCAAACAGTTGCCCAAACTATCTACGAATTGCAAATGTACAGTGTAACACTATATGTTCTATGACACCTTACCACTCGAGGATTCAGAAGACAAGGATTGATGAGCCTTTTCATTAAATGGAGGCATGGCAAATGACAAGCCTAGCCACAACAAGGCAGACCATGTATTGGCTTTGGAAATCTAAGCATTGGTGAGTGCTTGTCATCTTGCCTGATTGTGAACCAACTAGTTCACCCCACTGTCTTTTGTCTGTGATACACTATCACATGGGCTCCATTACCAAGGGTAAAAAATTCATAAGGTCTTCCTAGTGATTCAGGTGGATCTGGTTCCTCCACTCCCTGATTCAGTGGCAGCAGAGAGATAGCCTGTAGGGATCCTCACAGTAACAGCAAAAATCACACATATAGGTTAAGGCTTACCCTGAATCTGATCACTCTACACACTTCCCACCCTCCCTCAGCACACCTTAATCTTGCGTTAGTTATGCGGGGTCTTCACAGACCCCAAGTATTTTGCAAACTTTGGTGCTGACAGATGGAAGCACATACATGTTTGTTG